GCTGCTTTACAGCAGTGGGGTTGAGCACCAAGACCGTAGCTGAGGTGTCAGTAATGACACAGAGATTCATCCCCATCCAGAGTGTTGTTTCTCCAAGCCGATTAAAAGGGAGGGTTGGAAGAGCCCCCTGTAGTTCCTCAGAGCCTGGCCGTTGGGGTTAGAAGGACATTGGAAAGGTTGCTTAGAGGGCTGAAGGTGCCTGCAGTGCTTAGGCTTTAATTATCTTTTTTTCCAATGTCCTGGCTTTTTGCAGTAATAGCAGAGACCAAGAGGTTTTGTTTGGCGGGGAGGGTGGGGCCTCCATTTGTTGAATTGTCTAGTATGCAAACACGCTGATTTACCAAATTAACCAAACCTGGAGTGGACAGGGTTTCCCATTCCATCCTGGTCCTTTATTTATTTTTGGCTGCGTTGGGTCTTCACTGCTGTGCACAGGCTTTCTCTAGTTGCGATGGGCAGGGGCTACTCTTCCTTGTGGTGCGTGGGCTTCTCATTGTGGTGGCTTCTCTAGTTGCGGAGCACGGGCTCTAGGCACGCAGGCTTCAGTAGTTGTGGCTCGCAGGCTTTAGAGCACAGGCTCAGTAGCTGTGGCACACGGGCTTAGCTGCTCTGCGGCATGTGGGATCTTCCCGGACCGGGGCTCGAACCCATGTCCCCTGCATTGGCAGGTGGATTCTTAACCACTGCGCCACCAAGGAAGGCCCCATCCTGGTCCTTTTAACTGAAAGAGAATCCCCATTCAGCCCGTTAATGAGCACAGAGTTAAAGGCAACCCGAGCAGATTCAACATCCAGAAGAAGACCAGAGTTTTCTTTAAAAGACAGTCTGAAGACAACTACAATGGCCGTGAGCAGGTTTTATAGGTTTTGCATGCAAAGCCTGAGTTTTGTTCCAGTCATCATGCTTAGGAAAACCTTTTGAAACTCTTCAGTGAAAATTTCTAGCAAGTTCTTGGATTTCCTGCTAACAGTCAGGGTTTGTTTTTCCAAATCCCTTTCAGGATTTTCCCATCAAGCAAGTTTCATCCAATGTTGGGCCTGACCTTCACCAGCAAGCATGTGGACTAATTGATATAAATCTGAGAAGCCAGGTTGATAAGTTTATAAGTGGATAAGTTCTTCAGCAAATCCATGGCGGTCCTCAGTTACTTTGGGAAAATCTTTGACTATAGCTAGAAGTTCAGCTTTAGTCCAGGCAACATAAGTAACTAGGGATTTAGCATCTAGATCCCTAGAAGGCTTAGCTTTAAAAGGGCAGGACTTAATAAGTTCAGGGGAGGGGGAAACAGGGAGAGGTGTGGAGAAAAAGGGGAGTTCAGCAAGAGGGTTAGGAGCGGGTGGAGGGCCCAGAGGAGGTGAGGCTGGGCAGAAGGGGAGGGAAGGGGGCGCCGGGGCACAAGGGGCGGGGGCGGGGAGAGGCCTCAGAGCCGTTTCGTCTTCTTTCAGTGTGTTCTCCTCTGTTAGTCCAGGAATCGGTAGTTTGTAAAGAGGCAGTTTTATTAGAGTCCTGGATGTGTTTGGAAGCTCCAAGGTACCGACTAAAATAAGCATCCCATTCAGTCTGTTTAGTTTTAGAGCCGTCACTTTCTAATTTGGTTCTGAGAGAAACAAGTTTGGAGAGGTTGAAAGTTCTCCATAATGGCCCTTGGTATTCTGAAGTATTTGGGGTTAAGTCAGTCTATTTAGTTTAAAATGTGCATGAGGAAGGACCATAGTTCTTAAACATAAAACCAGCCAGGGTCCCCGAAGGAGGGTGCCCTTAGAGTATTTAGGTGACTGGGGTCCCATTTCTTAGAGCCTTTCTCAAGAGCAAAAGAAAAATCCCTAAATAGCCTGATTCCAGTGGAATTTTACCAAAATTCTAGCACACTTCCAATAGGGGGACAAATGAGTGAGTACTCACCTGAAGGACAAAGCCTTCCCAGAAAGAAAAAAAGCAGATCCCCAATAAAGTCAGAGCACTCAACCTAAAGGAGGGAGCGCGATCGCTTCCTGGCCCGGAAGGAGGAGGGCGGGCTCTTGCTGCCGGAGGGGAGGGGAGGGGAGCAGGGCATGAGCGGCTGCCACACGTGCGTCCAGGGTCCGCCTCCTCCAGAACCCACTTCTGGACACCATGCGATGTCAACCTTAAAAATAAAATAGCCAGTTGTTTTTGCCAGCAAGATGAGCTTATTCCAGAATGGCAGAGGAATTGCAGTTCGGGACATGCAAACTGGTGAAATCATAGGTGAGTCTGAGGACAAAGTAGAGGGAGAAACCTTATTTTACAGAGAAAAGGGGCAGTTGGGAGGGGCTGCTTTGAACCTAAGTCCATTGGAGGAAAGTGAGGGTTTGGGGTGGTCACAGCATCTCATTGGCTGGGCTGTTACTGGACCAGGAGAAAGTGTCCCTTCTGCTGCTGGGGCAGCCAAGTCTGCTGCTCCCTGCCCGGATGAAGGAAGTCCATGCCTGAGACCCTCCCTGCAGGGCCTCTGGCTCCATTTTAGATGAGTTTCTCTTCACTGATTTGCACAGTGTATTGTCCCTTCTTTTCATCAGTTTGAGGGGTATTTTTGATTCATCTATAAACTCTCAATAAGCTGCCTTTGAATAGCTAAATCCTAGTTCCCTGACCAGGGATCAAACCCAGGCCCTCAGCAGTGAAAGCGCTGAGTCCTAACCACTGGACCGCCAGGGAAGTCCCATAGCCCTTTTTTTTTTTTCCTTACGTTATGCGGGCCTCTCACTGTTGTGGCCTCTCCCATTTGCGGAGCACAGGCTCCGGACGCGCAGGCTCAGCGGCCATGGCTCACGGGCCCAGCCGCTCCGCGGCATGCGGGATCCTCCCGAAACGGGGCACGAACCCGCGTCTCCTGCATCGGCAGGCGGACTCTCAAGCACTGCGCCACCAGGGAAGCCCCCCATAGCCCTTTTTTTGAAGGGCTTTAAAATATACAGCTTCAAACTTTTGTCAGTCATCTTAGTTTTCCTTAAACAGTTTTGGAGGTTTTGTTTTTTTTATAAAGGATTTTTTTCCACGTGAGATTACTGTGTCCTTATGTCTAGAATGATCTCACCACCAATTATAATGTCTATACCCTGCATTTAAAAAAAGTAAATATCTAAAATGTCTGAAGCAGTGCTTGACTGAAGGGTATTCAAGGCTCGAATTGCTAAGTTCCCAGTTTCCTGGCTGCCCTCCTGCCCCACATGCCTCTCTCTTACAACCTTGGCATTTAGGAAACCCCAGGGATCAGCCCCCCAGAATACGTGTAGTCACTGGCCCCACTTTCTCAGCAGCACTCTCCCCATTCACCCTTTCACGTCCCTCAGTTAAACACAGAAGTTTCCAGAGTCCCATCCATCCCGCCTGATGATCCTTCCTTGCGCTTCCTTTCTGTCCTGTCCACTGATGGTGGCCCTTCTGCTGGGAGCGTGAGGACAGGCACGGGCCACATGATGGGTGCGGTGCTAATGCTGAAAAGCTGGGGGAGGAGGCTGTTTGGGGCGGCTTGGGGAGCTGGGTCAGGGGTGTGTTTGTCTGGGTCACATCTGGTGCTTTGAGGATGCCTGCACTCAATGTCAAGTCACCAACGAGATGTGCAAGTTCGGACACAGGATGGTATTTACTTGGAGTTCCTCCCTGTTAGGAGGTTTTCAAAGCCATGGGGCAGGTTGGATGCCTCACAGTGAGTCTAGATAGAGAAGGGAACCTGGAACCCGGCCCAGGGCACAGTCAGGGCCGGACGGGAAGGTGGCCCGAGGCAGGAAGGGGCCCAGGAGGTCAGGACCGTGAGGTGTACGTTGCACTCAGCCTCGTGGAGGTCAGTGGTGGCCTGTGACCTTGGCCAAGGGGGCAGCTGAGAAACGGGATGGGAGCTGGAGACGGAGGCAGGGTCATGGGAGGCTCCTCAGGCTTTTCTGGAGTGTGTGAGTGTGTGTGTGGTGTGTGTGACTCTGAGTGTATGTGAGTGTATGTGAGTGTGTTGAGTGTGTATGAGTGAGTGTGTGCGAATGTGAGCATTGAGTGTATCTGTGAGGGTGTGAATGGGTGTGAGTATGTGTGTGCGTGTCAGTGTGTGTGTGTTTCAGTGTGAGTGTGTTAGTGTGTGAGTCTGTCCGTGTGTGTGTTACTGTGTGAGAGACTGGGTTGTGTGTGTGTGAGCGTGAGTGTATGTGTATGAGAGTGTGTGAGTGTGTGTGTGAATGTGTGTGAGAGTGTGAGTGAGTGTGCGTGTCTGTTGATGGGGTGATCGGGTCAAGAGAAGGGGCAGGCTGGCTCTGGTGCAGTTCAGCTGGGGCTGCTGGGAGGAAAGGCGGGAGAGGGGCCAGGCCGGCCAGTGGCCAGGTCACCACTGCACTTGAGGAGGATGTGATGCGTGCTGGAGGGGCCTTTCCCACTGTCGCATCCCCGGTGCTTCCCTGGCTCTAGATGCCCTCGATGCCCACTGTCGTGCGCACCCAGTGTCGGGTGCTGCCTGCTGTCGAAGCATCGTGCTGCCCCCCGCCCCCAGTTGTGATCATATACTGCAGTGTGATGTTCTAATGCTCTGTGTCCCTTCTGGGCAGAATTAGAAGCTCCAGCGTGGACAGTTGTGGGCTTCTCTAGGCCGCTGAGCGGGCGTGAGAGGCACTCTTGAAGTACTGATCGTTGCTCACTCCACTCAGGATTCTGTAAAGCAAGGGGTTTCCTGAAGTGTTCAGGTTCTGGTGGAAAGTCCTTTGACTCACTAGTACAGCACCTTTAGATTGATGTTTTTATCTCGTGATAAACTTTGGGTTTCATTTCAAACCACTAACTAACTGCTCCAAGTATGATTCACACTGGGGGGCTGGCAGACCCCATCAAACCTTCACTCCAAGCTCGAGCTGCGACTGGAAGGCCAGAGGGCGGGGACAGCACCGGGGAGCCAGCAGCGTCAGAACCCACAGACCTGACACGTACGTGGAAGCGTGGCTGCGAACATCCCTCAGCCCTCTACGGAGATCCTGCAGATAAAACAACAATGTGTTTGCTTTCAGATTTTGCCAGTTTCCACAAGAAATCGTTCTACAAATGGTGGAGAGATGTCGAATAAGAAAACTACAGTTGCTTGCTCATCAGTATATGATTTCCAGTAAAATCGAGTTCTACGTTAGTGAGAGCCTGCCTGAATATTTCGCACCATATCAAGCAGAGCGGTTTCGAAGGCTTGGGTAAGAATGAAATTTAACATGTGTGGGGGGGACTTTTAGCCTAATTCTACCTCAGAGCAATTAAAAACGAAGGAATCGCCCTTGCCCTTGGCGCTGTCTTACGTACTTGTGTGCGGGTGGAGATCACACCACTTCTGAACACCTGCCTGGTGCTGAGTGTGCTTACTGAGCAGTGTTCCTATCAGTCGTATTCAGGCCACTTTTCAGGTGCAGAGCTTATCTTAAGAGAACTATTTAGAATTTGACTTCTGGGCTTTTTATTCCCTAGGGTTTTTCATTCCAAACCTAACAACTTTCCTTGAAACCTGCGGAGCTCAATGGTCACCGAAGGCAGCTTATTTCCACATCAACGTGATTCCAGGGTTGTGTTTTTTCTTTCAGCTACGTCTCTCTCTGTGACAATGAAAAGACAGGTTGCAAAGCCCGGGAACTAAAATCGGTTTATGTGGATGCAGTAGGACAGTTTCTTAAGCTGATTTTTCACCAAAACCATATCAACAAGTACAATGTATATAATCAGGTGAGACACATGGGCCCTCCCCTTGGTGACACCCCTACCCCGCCCCCTGCTTTGTGGCATCTGAGACTCCTCCTTTAAGGTGGTGTCTGTGGGAGAGTGCTAAGCTCCCTGGAGCTGCGTGCTCCGATTCGGATTCGGAGCCACCAGCCACGTGTGGCTGTGCACGCTGAAAGCATGGCTGGTCCAAGTGTATGGGCTACACATGTGACCCAGGCTCGGTTACACAAGGAGAGGAGGATGTTTTGGATACATTAGCTTTAAATATATTGTTAAAATCAAAAAATCAATTTTAAATGTTTCTTTTACTGTGTTGACTAGAAAACTTAAACTTACATATGTGGCTTGCATTATATTGGGTTGGCCAAAAAGTTTGTTCGGGTTTTCGATAAGCTCACATGAAAAATCCGAACGAACTTTTTGGCCAGCCCATTATTTTTGTTGGACAGCACTGTTCTACATAAACCCCCTAAACTTTTACAAGATAAACCCCCTGGTGGAAATTGAGAGTGCGGTTTAATGATGCATGCAGTCCAGAATCTCTCTAGCTCCCTCCCTCCCTTTCTTTTTATTTTTTTGGCATAAAGAATATAGTGGAAATCAACAGTGTCCAAAGCAGTCTTGTTAATTAGCACAAATATTTACAGCACTCCCTGCCCCCTCCAAGAGGAATGCAAGCATTCCAACAAGTCAGAGCTTTATGCTGAGCAAGTGAGCTGAAGGAGAGTTCTGAGACAGAGTCGTGTTGCCTGGTCTGTATTTAATTTGAGAGCAGACTTCTGAGCCTTTTCCTTCCTCCACCCCATCTGTGTATTCGCCGGTAATTCCTCAGTTTTCAGTTCAGCAACCGTGATTCTCAAGGAGGGGGGTACACGAAGGCGGCTCCTCCCCGTCAAGTGAGAATGAGTGCCTTGGACAAACCAAGCTACGTTAGCGTAGGTTTTCATTTCATTGTCTGATTTACCACGATCATGTAGATGTGACCCCTTCCTTAACCTTGAGTGGATGGTTCGATATAAAGCTGGGTTAAAACTTTGGAGGTTTTTTAAGCTGTATTGTTTTAACATCCTTTAAACATTAAAATACCCTCTTGGTTCAGCATTAGAATATTAACTTATATAATATATAAAAGTCATTAATAATTCTATATTAGCGTGAGATTTTACAGTTACAGCATTTTGCTGTACATCATCCCGTTTTATGACAGTATGGCTCAGAGTTTGTTATAAAGGGGTTAAGTCATGTCAAACATTTTATACTTAATTTCTGTTGATTAACTCTTTCTTAGGTTGCTTTGGTTGCAATAAATATCATTGGAGACCCTGCAGATTTCGGTGATGAAAGCAATATTGTAAGTTTGGGAAGTTTCATTCCTGAAGAGGGACATTTCTTTCTAACAAGAGGGGATCGTTTATTTTTGTCACAAAAGTATCATCCTAAAAATCCTCACAAAATTATCTGGTGAACAGCTAGCAGATAATTTTCAGCAGCTGTTGTATTAAACTTTACTCGAGAATTTTAGTTGTCCCTCCAGGACACTAGGATCATTGAAGCTCCCTGACTGACACCGTTATGTCAAATCATCTCTGTTTTATGTTGTTCCTTTTCTCTCTGAGATACTAAGCATAACTTTTTCCCCCAAAGACCTCTAGAGAGAAGCTGATTGATCATTATCTAGGGCACAACACAGAGGACCCAGCTCTCGAAGGAACTTGTTCTGGGTAAGAGCCCTGCCCACCCCCACCGAGGCAGTAAATTTCTGTGACTTTCCTTGGAATCATGAAAGTGCAAGTCAGCTCCAAAGAAAGGATCCTGGACCTGGGGGCCTCTACATTCAGTCTGGAGCCGAACAAGCCACTGATGGGATTGTCTTAAATACACTGCAGATTAAGGTCACCGTTTTATTTAGCACATCTTCATTCACTGCTCTTCAGAGATGACTTCGTTTCTTGTATGTTCTGGTATTACTAGACAGTTCCTCGAATGCATTCAGATAAAAGATCTGTCAGCCATCCTTTGATATTTTGGTGGCACAGGCAAATTCATAGGTAAGAATCGAAGTATTAATTGACCCAGATTACCAGTTACCCCAAAGTTCATCTTATATCTGCTTTAAAACCTCGTTCCTTAAGGGAGTGAGAACTGCATGTCACATCAGTTTCTGTAAGTTCCTCTCCACGCTCCTCACATGGACAGTTATACAGACGTCGCTATCTTGCTGACTCTTTAGCAAGTCAGGCGTGGAGGGCAAGGCCGAGGGCACACCACTTTACACCCTCTGTCCCTAGGTGCCCCTCTGGGACAGAGTCCTTCAGCACCCTTGTCATGTGCCTGCTGTTTATGAAAGCAGGGGGACCCCTTCCACAGGCGCCCAGCCTAAAGAGAAAGGGATGCAAAACAATACCCAGGTCCCCTTCTCTGATGGCAACTTCCCAATAGCGAAGAGGTAAGGTGCTTAGATGTTAGTACGCGGTTGACATTTGCACATGACCTGTGGTGTATTTCCACGCTCACACGCACATGGCCAGAACTGCTGGCTCTTCCGTTTGCATCAAACGTGGGGTCAATTCTCTGTGCCGTTGCTCGGAGCCACTGGGTGGTGCTGAGTGTGGCACACTGGAGTGGAGGCCGTGCTTACAGTTTCGTGTATAAAAAGTCACGGTGCAGGGTGACCCATCATCCCGCCTACACAAGCTCTGCTTCAGTCCTCAGCCCGGATCCTTCCCGCCTGCCGGAGTCCTCACCTTGCCAGGTGGGGTTGAGAAGCACGGGGGGAGCACTGACGGCAGGTACCTCCTTCAGCATCGTGGAGGTGCTGCCCCCGGCTTTGCCCTTGGTGAACAGGGGATGACTAAGCTCACTTACGGGGTTTAGTATCGCCAAGAAAAGCCCTCTGGGGAATTGTGGTTTCTGTTTAAATCAGTTCTTTATCAAGTTAGCTATGGGGGATGGTAAACTGCAGTTTCTTGTCCTGACTCACGCACCCCACCCCCCACCCCCTGCCAGGGTTTTCCTGAAGGTAGAGGGAGGTCTTGAAAGGTTGTGGACAGCACCCAAGGCTGAGTCCACAGGCAACGCTGGGGCATCGTGGAAAGTGGGCGCTCCTGATGCCTGGGCATTGCAACATCATTTCGTCCTTCGTAGGGTTTTTATACTGTAATGAAGTCTTGGTTTCACCTCTGGAACTTCAAGGCAGAGTGAGTTAGACTTGAGAGTGTGGTGTGTATTTAGGTAAAAAGAGTCAACGGATCTTGGAAGCACAGAAACATGCTCTTGTTCAGTCATCACTGAGATGAACGGAGATGCTCACAGCCGCCGTGGCCGTGTGCCCGCTGCTGTGCCCGCAGCCGCCTGAGTCAAGGCCTGGGGAAAGGGGGTCCTGGCTGCTTTTGAAAGGTGATGTGGTCCCCTGTCCCGTTTGAGTATATTGTTAATCAACCAAACTTGTATGACAAATAATCTCTTTAATGAGACTTGCTGTGTGCAAGGACAGCCGAGGCGAAGCTAACAGCAGGCGTCTTCCTGCCTCTGATGCAGCAGGTTGGGAGGCTCTGGACCGTGTCCCCTAACGCTTCTGTCGAGTAGTTAGAACAGTGTCCTGGTTCTAAATGTCAGGCCCAAAAGAAAGCTGGCCAGTTACAGAATTGGGAGGAAAGAGGGAGGCGATGCGTAACCCGAAACAGGTTATTCAGATCACGTTTAGGTCATTTATTCTGGGAAGGATTTCTCTGATCTCCCGCAGGACTGGATGGTGATGTCATACGATCAGACACTTTGAGGTACAAGCCCAGTGGTAGCAGTTCTCCATCTTTAATGCTCGTCACCATTACTGTGGCGTGAAATGCAACCCTGGACTCGGCCTGGGCCACCAAGCCAGCCTCTGCAGGGCTGGGGCCTGCTCATGGCTGGCTTTGGTTTTGGTTTTCCCACGTCTACAAATGGTTCACATGCTCTGTCCTGTCCCTGCACCCAGAGCAGAGCCCTGCAGGGTCTGCACTCGGGATATCTGCCGAACGAGTGAATGAACACACTGAAGGCTCAGATGCCCCGTGTGCATATAATTCATGGTCAAGAGCATAAGCTGTGGGGTCAGCAAGACCTGCCTGCACTTGCTGTGTGACCTGAAGCCCGTTACTGACTTCTCTGAGCCTCTGCTCTCTCAGCAAGAAATGCTCCGCAACGGGTGTGGGTGGGACCTTTCCAGACTGTCTGTGTGTCTTCAGCACTGAGCACGGGGCCCACTCTCCCCCTGCAGCGTTACATAGATTGAAACTGTCTCTAAAGTACCCTTTCCTTTCCTTTAGGAAGTCTGACTATATTTCCCCACTAGATGACTTGGCCTTTGACATGTACCAGGATCCGGAAGTGGCACAGATTATCCGCAGGTTAGATGAAAGGAAGCGCGAGGCGGCCCAGAGGGAGCGCTACGATGACGCCAAGACGCTCAAGCAGGCCATCGCCGACCTGCAGAAGGTACTGCCTGCGGGGAAGGCGGCGGCTCCGTGTCTAACTGCCCTGGTTCCTGCTCAGCAAACGGCAGGCCTCTGAAGGCTGCAGGGTTAGCATGGGTTCAGGGGCGTCAGCACATGAAGGACAGCAAGAGCACACACTCCTGCAGAGCCCTCCTCGGGGCCGCAGCCGCAGGAAACGTAAGATGTTTAAACTCCCATGAGCTCGCAGGTGGCGGTGGCCCGTTCCCTCCATCCCCCGTGCCGTTCCCCTCTCCCCCCGACACGGAGTTGGTCACCCACACTGTCCTCAAAGCGTTACTTTAAAACCGTCTTTGCACCTCGCGTGAGTCGGTCCACATGCGAAGCCAAAGCCAATGCCGTGTGCTTTAGGTCGGGGAGCGGCTGGGCAGGTACGAGGTGGAGAAGCGCCGTGCCGTGGAAAAGGAGGACTACGACCTGGCCAAGGAGAAGAAACAGCAGATGGCGCGCTACCGCAGCCAGGTGTACGGGCGGCTGCAGCTGCACGGGCTGGTGGACGCCGAGCTGGTGGGTGGCGGGGCCCGCAGCTGGGACCGGGGACCGGGAGAACCGTCGCGGGGTCCACGAGGGTGGTTGCGCGTTCCGCAAAACGGAAGACTTTGTCAGGCTCAGGCGACAGGTAGCTGCAGCCCGTGGGCCCGTGTCGTAGTCCTGGCCTTGACGCACTCTTGCAGGAGGATTTGCAGAGGCGGAGACAGGGCAGGTCAGGTGGGAAGGCTTCCCGGTGGGCCACTGCATCTCCTGTAGGCAGCCCTGCCCACGCAGCCCCTGGGAGTGTGGCGAGAGAGCACCATCCTGACAGCTCAGGCTGGGTGGGGGTGGGTCTCATGTCCGGAGCTCACGTTCCAGGCTGGGATGCAGGCCTGGCACCCAGAGGGCAGTGCAGGGAGTGCCGCCTCTGGCACTCGCTGCCAGACCCCGGGCTCCATTCCTCCGTCCAACTCTGTGGTCTCGGACTCATTCCTTGGCCTCTTTGTGCCTCAGTTTCCCCACCCCATCCACGGGGGTGAGAAGAGGGAGCCTCAGGTGCGGTCGTCTGCCTGGAGCGCTTGCTCCTGGCCCAGCACGTGGCCACCACTGAGTCCGTTGCACTCGTTCAGGTGACACGAAGTAGCCTGCTTTGCAGACACGGAGTGACCAGCACAGGCCTCTCAGGTCCAGCCGGGTGCTCCCCGCCCACCTGTGGCCTCCCCACCACAGCACCCCGTGCACAGATGCTCATGGCCACGCTGGTGTTTTGGTACAGGTGTCACTTGAGTGGTCCACACAGTAACCATCCAGAGACAGTCGGGGGCAGTGACATGGCTATGGGACCTCGTCAGTGTGGGTTTCCCCCTCTGCCTTCCCAAACTAGCGCTCCCCTGGGGGAACAAGGGGTGTGTCTGCTGGGGCAGTGACACTGGGGATCGAATGGCCCGTTTCTCCCCAGATACGAAGGCCTCTGGACTTGCCTCTCCAGCCCCTGGTCCATTCCGACAGCCCTCACCACCAGCAGCCCGCGCTCTCACTGCCACAGCCAAAAGAAAGGGGGACAGAAAACCAGTTTGCAGACCCTTTCCTTCAGGAGAAGCCTTCATCGCATCCCCTGGACATTTCTCCTCAGCATTGCGTGGTGGACCGGTCACCCCCCGCCGCAGGTCCTCCTCCCAAGGCCCATGTAGGTAACTCACGTTCACGCTGTGGGCAGTTTATTCCACATGTATGTAGTGGGGACCCGCGTCATGCCGGGTGCTTTCCCGGGGCCAGGGATGTATCAGGGTACAAAACAGTGACAGCCTTACCTGCGCTGCGTCAAGAAGAGGGGCAAAAAAGCTGCGGCCGGAACATTGGCCAATGGCTGAGACACACTTCATCCTCTGAGCCTCTGTTTTTCTCTTTGCAAAGATGTACAGACGTCTTCTTAAAGGGTGGTTTCCAGGATTAAATGAGACAATATTCGTCAGGTTCCTACCCTGGCCTGACCTTAGTAGAGCCTCGGTACAAGTCGTATCCAGTTACCATACCTGTTAGAACCTCCTGTGTGGCAGGGGACAGAAAACCTGGTTCAAACTGGGGGTTATTGGCGTTTATAACTGGGAATTTTAAGAGGTCATGTGGGTTCCAGGGTTGGTTTGATTTCTGTCTTGCGAGTCTGTTTTCTGTGGTTCTGAGACGCCCTCTCGGAAGGCCGGGCTCGTCACGTGGCCTCAGCTTCAGGTCTGTACGCTGTGCCATCTGGGGGAGAGCATGCGTCCCATTCTAAGCAGAGTCCCCGGGTTAACCCTGCTTAGATCGGCCTCAGTCACCTGCCACCTCAGGAGCAGTGGCGAGGACCAGAGGGGGCAAAGGTGCCGACTGGCCTGTGAGGGCCTCCCTGGAGCCTCTGCCGTGCATGGCCATGTGGCCAGCAGACCCTGGGGTGGAAGGAAGGCTGCCAGGCGGGCACAGGCAAGTGCCGACAGCAGCCAGAGGCCCAGGAAAGCTGGAGAGGCCCACAGCTGCCACACGGCCCCCACGCCCTCGTGCCGCTGGCTCTCCCAGGGCGTGTCTGTGAGCATTGCCACCCTCCCTCTCCCTCCAGTGATATCTTGTCTGTAACTTAATTGTTACGTTTCACACTTCAATCTAAAAGTACTCTAATTTCTCCTTTTTTAGTACCTCAGTGTGTTTTGTTTTACAAGTGTGAGTACATTTTAAAAGATGAGAAACTAAATCTCACATGTGTTGTACACCCAGTTAAGACCTCAGCAAGTATTAAGTATGAATAAACGGCCCTCCTTGTCTGTTCAGTGTCACCATGATGCCTTCCTCAGAAAGTGACTCTGGAATCGCTCTTTCTGCCCTCAGTTACCTGGAAGTCTGTGACATGTGTACTTGTTTAGTGTATATCTGTCTCCCCCTGAGAACGAGGCCCGCCGAGGGCGGGGAGTCTGTCTTCCCATCGCTCTACGTGGGTCACCAAGAACAGAGCCCGGGAAATGTCTGCTGCAGGATGCAGACAAAGGTGGATAAGGATCTGGAGCTTCGGCTGCCTGTGTTACTGCAAGGCTGCTGGGTCCTGGATGTGTTTAAAATGAGGCTTGAGAGTTGTTTCTCAGAAATAAACTAATAGACTAAGAAAATGCCAAGGGTCTTGCCAGAAAAAAACTGTAATGACTTTTACTGTAGTGACCTACTGTCAGCTGAACTGAAATCACTAGTTGTAAATAGTAATCGCGGCAGAATCTACATTGCTTATTTATTAGGTCTGTAGTAAGTTTAGAAGGGAATAAAACCCCTGATCTAATTTTTTTTCAATTACACCCTATGGTATAAATTATTCTAACTTGATGAGACTGATATTTAGCAAAATACCATCATTCTGACCAGGTACGTCCCAAGCAGTCAGCCCATGGGTGTAGACGGGGGGCGGTCAGTATGTGGGGAGGATCCTGCACCGAGCCCGGCAGCCACCCTGTCCTCCCGCAGCTCGAGTCCCTGCCCTACGATGAGCGGCCCCTTCCCGCGACCCGCAAGCAGCCTGGGGCAGTGGCCACGGAGCCAGAGACGAGGGACACGGACAGCAGCGAGCCTCCCAGAGCAGGCACCATGGGCGAGCCTGAGCCTCTAACAGAGAAGGCCTTGCGCGAAGCCAGCTCCGCCGTGGACGTGCTGGGAGAGGCCTTGGTAAGAACAGAAGCTCGTATAAACAGCCTGCAAACAATGGGCAGGGGCGGGTGGCTCCACAGGGCTCCTAGGCTTGCTGGTCCTGATGCTGCAACTGCCCTTTGTCCTCACTACTCAACGGAAAAGTCTTTTGATAGTTACTCCTCACGTGAAGCAGCACAAGCGTAAGCTAGAATTTCAGATTTCATGACAAGTATCCATTTAAGCCTGGGCCTGATTTGTGGTGTTGACAGGGCTGGGGTCCAACACCAGCTCCCGCCTGAGAGCACCGCCAGCTCCAGGGAAGAGGACAGCAGAGCAAACAACACATGAGCGTGTCACCAGCCTCCAAAGATTCTCGTGCTGGAACTTTTAATACGTTCCATGTTTTAACATAAACTTAAATTTTCCACGTTAGGAGGAGTATTTCTCCAAATACACATACCTAGTGGGTGGAGGTCCTGTTATTAGAAAAGCTGTGTCTTGGTTTAAAACAAACCAAGGCCAGGGGTGCAGGGTGCAGGCTGCCGGGGCTGCTGGGGAGGGGATGTGGCCAAGTGCCCACTCTGAGGGGCCGGCTCCCGCCCTCCCAGGTGGCCGGGGCCTATTCCAAAACATGGTCGCACCGGGAGGATGCGCTGCTCGCCCTGTATAAACAGCTGATGGATGCACCGGCGGCAACCCCAAAGGAAGACCTGAAGAGCATGCTGAGGGCGGCCGTATTCCTCATCAGGAGAGCCATCCGAGACATCGTGACCCCAGTGAGTCCCCGCCCGCCCCTCAGGGGCCCCGTGTCTGCCAGAGAGCTGCCGGGCTGTCCCCAGGAGGTCAGGGTAGCCCAAGAGGCAGCCTGGTCCCCAGTACCGTTGTCACCTAGCATGTGGTGTCACTAGGAATGAAGCTCTCGAGGAAGGAATATGGTCACTAAGGAGTCTGAGGTCTGTCCCCGTGGGCCGTGCCCTCTGGTCCATGTGCACAGAGGCCTGGCCACCACGACTGATACATGCCCCTTTATGTTTTTGTTCTTCATGACGCCTGAGGAGCTTGGGAGTTAGCACCGACTTCTCCTGACCCTGAAAGGGCCTTAAGAATGAACATCCCACAATTACACTGTCGTCTGCATTCACACAGGAGCTCATGCAGTTCAGCAGTAATGTCAGATATTTGGCTCATGGAGAGATGTCGGGGACTTTATGACACGTGGGAGATAAGAGCCTGTGCCTTCCATGTGCAGGGAGCTGTGCTCACAGAGCAGTTTTCAGTTGGCCATTTCCAGTCCTTCAGACAGCGTGTAGTTTTCAGCGTAACGTTTGTGTTTATAACTAATAGTAAATTTCATGTTTTCTTTTGGTGGAATTCGGTAAGAGTGGCTCATCTGTTTTTATCACTTTTTTTCTTAGGTCTTTCAGGCATCTTTGAAATTGTTGAAAATGTTAATCACGCAATATATTCCTAAACATAAACTGGGTAAGCTTGAAACAACTCACTGTGTGGAAAGGACCATTCCTGTTCTGCTCACGAGAACTGGAGATTCTTCAGCTCGCCTCCGTGTTATAGCTTCCAATTTTATTCAGGTATGAATTTCACCACAGAATTTGAAACCATAAATAATGAACATTTAACTACAGATATTTGACTTTCTTAATACCTTACAAGATCCTGTCTACCCAAGAGCATCATAGATTATCCTTAGTGATTCACCATCATATTTTCCTTATGTTGTAAACCAGGTAAATGTTGCCTTAAACATGATTAAAATGTACAGTTTGCTTTTTCTAGTGTTTTTCTTATTCAACATGCACTATTTTTTAAATAAATAAAAATATATGGAGAATTAAATCAGAATAGAAAAATGGGGTAAAAAAAAAGATGTATAATGGTCTTGATCTAAATATTTTTATTCTTTCAGCAAACACGCCTCCTCTAGCCTGGGCGCTGGGGGAAGCTAAGATAGAAGTGAGCGTTTAAGAGTTTGGGGCACACCGCACTGTGCGGCTTGCGGGATCTTGGTTCCCCAACCAGGGGTCAAACCTGAGCCACCGTGGTGGGAGTGCCAAGTCCTGGCCCCTGGACCGCCAGGGAATTCCCAGCCCCAGGGAATATTAATCATCGTGAGCTCTCCTGGAGGTCCCTGTCTTGGCACTGAGACCCAGCTTCACCCAACAGCCTGCAGGCTCCAGTGCTGGAACACCTCAGGCCAAACAACCAGCAAGAAAGGAACACAGCCCTACCCATTAGCAGACAGGCTGCCTAAAGTCATACTAAGCTCAGAGACACCCACACCCCTTGACACAACCCTGCTCACCAGAGGGACAAGACCCAGCTCCACCCATCAGAGGGCAGACACCAGGAGCAAGAGGAACTACCACCCTGTAGCCTGCGAAAGGAGACCACATATACAGTAAATTAGAAAGAAGAGAAGACAGAGAAATATGCTGCAGACAAAGGAGCAAGGTTAAAGCCTACAAGAACAACTAAATGAAGAGGAAATAGGCAGTCTACCTGAAAAAGAATTCAGAGTGATGGTAATAAAGATGATCCAACATCTCAGAAAAAGAATGGAGGCACGGATGGAGAAGATACAAGAAAGGTTTAACAAAGACCTAGAAGAACTAAAGGACAAACAAACAGTGATGAACAACACAATAACTGAAATGGGGAATGCACTAGAAGGAATCCATAGCAGAATAACTGAGGCAGAAGAACGGATAAGTGAGCTGGAAGATAAAATGGTGGAAATAACTGCCAAGGAGCAGAATAAAGGAAAAAGAATGAAAAGAACTGAGGAGACTCTCAGAGACCTCTGAGACAACATTGAACACACCAACATTCAAATTATAGGGGTCCCAGAAGAAAAAGAGGGGACTGAGAAAAGATTTGAAGAGATTATAGTTGAAACATTCCCTAACATGGGAAAGGAAATAGTCACCCAAGTCCAGGAAGCACAGAGAGTCCCATACAGGATAAACCCAAGGAGAAACATGCCAAGACACATATTAATCAAACTAACAAAAATTAAATACAAAGAAAAAATATTAAAAGCAACAAGGGGAAAGCAACAAATAACATACAGAGGAATCCCCAGAAGGTTATCAGCTGATTTTTCAGCAAAAACTCCACAGGCCAAAAGGGAATAGCAGGATATATTTAAAGTGATGAAAGGGAAAAACGTACAACCAAGAATACTTTACCCAGCAAGGCTGTCATTCAGATTCGACGGAGAAATCAAAAGCTTTTCAGACGAGCAAAAGCTAAGAGAATTCAGCACCACCAAACCAGCTTTACAACAAATGCTAAAGGAGCTTCTCTAGGTTGCGGGGGCAGGGGGGGGTGGTAGAAATATTCTTGTTTCTACAAACAAGGAAACTAAGAAATGGGAAAGCTCGCTAGTAAAGGCAAACATACACTAAAAGGAGCAAATCATCCACACACAAATATGATACCAAAATCAGCAATCATGAGAAGAGGAGAGCACAAATGCAGGAAATGGGAATTGCATTGGAAAGTAAGAGACCAGCAACTTAAAACTATCTTGTTTATATATAGACGGCTATATCAAAACTTCATGGGAGGGCTTCCCTGGTGGCACAGTGGTTGAGAATCTGCCTGCCAATGCAGGGGACACGGGTTCGAGCCCTGGTCTGGGAAGATCCCACATGCCGCGGAGCAACTGGGCCCGTGAGCCACAACTACTGAGCCTGCGCATCTGGAGCTTGTGCTCCGCAACAAGAGAGGCCACGACAGTGAGAGGCCCGCGCACCGCGATGAAGAGTGGCCCCCGCTCGCCACAACTAGAGAAAGCCCATGTACAGAAACAAAGACCCAACACAGCCAATAAATAAATAAATAAAATTTTAAAAACCTCATGGGAAATGCAAACCAAAAAAACTACAATAGATACACACACAAAAAAGAAAAAGCAACCTAAATACAACACTAAAGATGGTCATCAAACCACAAAAGAAGAGAATAAAAGCAGAAGGGAAGAAAAAAGATCTACAAAAACAAACCCAAAACAAGAAGATGGCAATAGGAACATACATATTGATACTTGCCTTAAATATAAATGGATTAAATGCTCCAACCAAAAGACACAGACTAGCTGAATGGATACAGAAACAGGACCCATACATACACTGTCTACAAGAGACCCACTTCAGACCTAGGGACACATACAGACTGAAAGTGAGAGGACATAAAAAGATATTCCATGCAAATGGGAATCAAAAGGAAGCTGGAGTAGCAATACTCATATCAGACAAAATAGACTTGAAAATAAAGACTGTTACAAGAGACAAGGACGGACACTACCTAATGATCAAGGGATAGATCCATGAAGATATAACAGTTGTAAATATTTATGCACCCAACATAGGAGCACCTCAATACATAAGGCAAACGCTAACAGCCATAAAAGGGGAAAGCGACAGTAACACATTCATAGTAGGGGACTTTAACACCCCACTTTCACCAATGGACAGATCATCCAAAATGAAAATAAATAAGGAAACACAAGCTTTAAATGGCACATTAAAAAAGATGGACTTAATTGATATTTTTAGGACATTCCATCCCAAAACAACAGAATACACTCATGGAACGTTCTCCAGGATAGACCATATTTTGGGTTGCAAATCAAGCCTTGGTAAATTTAAGAAAATTGAAATTGTATCAAGTATCTTTTCCGACCACAACGCTGTGAGACTAGATATCAGTTACAGGAAAGAAACTGTAAAAAATACAAACACATGGAGGCTAAACAATACACTACTGAATAACCAAGAGATCACTGGGGAAATCAAAAAATATCTAGAGACAAATGACAACGAAAACACAACAATCCAAAACCTGTGGGACACAGCAAAAGCAGTTCTAAGAGGGAAGTTTACAACAATACAGTCTTATCTCAGGAAACAGGAAAAATATCAAATAAACAATCTAACCTTACACCTAAAGCAACTAGAGAAAGAAGGTCAAAACCCAAAGTTAGTAGAAGGAAAGAAATCATAAAGATCAGAGCAGAAATAAATGAAATAGAGACAAAGGAAAAGATAGCAAAGATCAATGAAACTAAAAGCTGGCTCTTTGGGAAGATAAACAAAATTGATAAACCTTTAGCCAGACTCCAAGGAAAAAAGGGAGAGGACTCAAATCAATAAAATTAGAAATAAAAAAGGAGAAGTTACAACAGACACCATAGAAATACAAAGGGTCATAAAAGACTACTACAAGCTACTATATGCCGATAAAATGGACAACCTAGAAGAAATGGACAAATTTTTAGAAAGGTACAGCCTTCCAAGACTGAACCAGGAAGAAATAGAAAATATGAGCAGACCAATCACAAGTACTGAAATTGAAACTGATTTAAAAACTTCTAACAGGGAATTCCCTGGTGGTCCAGTGGTTAAGAGTCTGTGCTTCCACTGCAGGGGGCACGGGTTCCATCCCTGGTTGGGGAACTAAGATCCCACATGCTGTGCAGCATCAACAAAAACAAAAATCCAGGATGAGATGGCTTCATCGGCTAATACTATCAAACATTTAGAGAAGAGTTAACACCTGCTGAAATTCTTCCAAAGAATTGCAGGAGGAACACTCCCAGGCTCATTGTATGAGGCCACCATCACCCTGATAACCAAAACCAGACAAAGATACTACAAAAAAAGAAAAGAAAATTAACAGGCCAATATCACTGATGAACATAGACGTAATCCTCAACAAAATGCTAGCAAACCAAATCCAACAACACATTAAGAGGATCATACACCATGATCAAGTGGGATTTATCCTAGGGGTGCAAGGTTTCTTCAACATATGCAAATCAATCAATGTGATACACCATATTAACAATCTGAAGAATAAAAACCATATGACCATCTCAGTAGATGCAGAGAAAGCTTTTGACAAAATTCAACACCTATTTATGATAAAAACTCTCCAGAAAGTGGGCATAGAGGGAACATACCTCAACATAATAAAGGTCATATACAACAAACCCACAGTAAACATCATTCTCGATGAAAAACTGAAAGCATTTCCTCTAAGATCAGGAACAAAACGAGGGTGTCCTCACTCACCAGTTTTATTCAACACAATTTTGGAAGTCCTAGCCACGGCAATCAGAGAAGAAAAAGAAATAAAAAGAATCCAAATTGGAAAAGAAGAAGTAAAACTCTCACTGTTTGCAGATGGCATGATACCATACCTAGAAAATCCTAAAGATGCTGCCAGAAAACTACTAGAGCTCATCAGTGAATTTGATGAAAGTGGCAGGATACAAAATTAAAGTTGCAGGATACAAAATTAATACACAAAAATCTCTTGCATTCCTGTACACGAAGAACGAAAGATCAGAAAGAGAAATTCAGGAAACAATTCCATTTACCTTTGCAACAAAAAGAATGAAATACCTAGGAATAAACCTACCTAAGTAGACAAAAGACCTATATGCAGAAAACTCTAAGACACTGATGAAAGAAATCAAAGAAGACACAAACAGGTAGATATACCATGTTCTTGGATTGAAAGAATCAATTTTGTCAAAATGACTATACTACCCAAAGCAATCTACAGATTCAGTGCTATCCCTATCAAATTACCAATGGCATTTTTCACAGAATTAGAACAAAATTTTTTAGTTTGGATGGAAACACAAAAGACCCTGAATAGCCAAAGCAATCTTGAGAAAGGAAAATGGAGCTGGAGGAATCAGGCTGCCTGACTTCGGGCTATACTACAAAGCTACAGTCATCAAAACAGTATGGTACTGGCACAAAAACAGAAATACAAATCAATGGGACAGGATAGAAAGTCCAGAGATAAACCCACTCACCTATGGTCACCTAATCTATGACAAAGGAGGCAGGACTATACAATGGGGAAAAGACAGTCTCTTCAGTAAGTGGTGCTGGGGAAACTGAACAGCTGCATGTAAAAGAATGAAATTGCAACACTCCCTAATGCCATACACAAAAACAAACTTAAGATGGATTAAAGACCTATGTAAGGCCAGATGCTGTAAAACTCAGAGGAAAACATAGGCAGAACACTCTTTGACATAAATCACAGCAAGATGTTTTTCAATCCACCTCCTAGAGTAATGAAAATAAAAACAAAAATAAACAAATGGGACCTAATTAAACTTAAAAGCCTTTGCACAGCAAAGGAAACCATAAGCAAAATGAAAAGACAACCCACAGAATGGGAGTACATATTTGCAAACAAAGCAACTGACAAGGGATTAATCTCCAAAGTATACAAACAGCTCATGCAGCTCAATATATATATTAAAAAAAAAAAAAAAACCCAATCAAACAATGGGCAAGAGATCTAAACAGACATTTCTCCAAAGAAGATATACAGGTGGCCAAACAAACAGCACATGAAAAGTTGCTCAACATAGCTAATTATTAGAGAAACACAAATCGAAACTACAATGAGGTATCACACCAGTCAGAATGGCTGTCATTAAAAAGTCTACAAATGATAAATGCTGGAGAGGGTGTGGAGAAAAGGGAACCCTCTTGCACGGTTGGTGGGAATGTAAATTGGTACAGCCACTATGGAGAACAGTATGGAGGATCCTTAAAAAACTAAAAATAGAACTACCACACGACCCAGCAATCCCACTACTGGGCATATACCCTGAGAAAACCATATTTCAAAACAATACATGCACCCCAATGTTCATTGCAGCACCATTTACAATAGCCAGGACATGGAAGCAACCTAAATGTCCATCAGCAGAGGGATGGATAAAGAAGATGCAGTACATATATACAATGGAATATTACTCAGCCATAAAATAAACAAAATAATGCCATTTGCAGCAACATGGATGGGCCTAGAAATTATCATACTAAGTGAAGTAAGTCAGACACAGAAAGACAAATATCATATGATATTGCTTATATGTGGAATTTTTTTTTAAAGAGGATACAAATGAACTTATTTACAAAACAGAGAGTCACAGACATAGAAAACAGGAAAGCACGGGGGAAGGGATAAATTGGGGGATTGAGATTGACATACACACCCTACTATATATAAAATAGATGACTAATAAGGACCTATTGTATAGCACAGGGAACTCTTCAGTACTCTGTAATGACCTATATGGGAAAAGAATCTAAAAAAGAGTGGATATCTGTGTATGTATAACTGATTCACTTTCCTGTACAGCAGAAAATAAGGCAACATTGTAAATCAGCTATACTCCAACAACAAGTCTAAAAGAGAGTTTGGGGCACACGCTTAGACGAGCAGTGTGAGAATATGCTTTGCTCTCTTTAAATTAGTGACTCCATCTGGTCTAGGCGATCTCAAATTAAGATTCAGAAAGTCTGCGAGCTCCTTCGAATGTCACACACAGTGCTGTGAGTGTGCACGGCTTTCTAGGGAAGGAACCCAAAGCTGCCATAGTTTCTCCAACGTGAGGAGCCACTGATCTTGTTTTGTTTAATGAACTTAAATTTTCAGAGAAAACAAGTAAGTGATACTATTTGGGGAAAATCTTTCAAAGGATGCATTGAATATGCAGCTAATTATTTTCCAGCCACATTCACCTCTGAGACAGTGGTGGTGCTGAGTGTCTTCTGCTTGGGAGCTGTTCTCGTTCTGCACCAGCATCTGGGCAACCGACCCTGCATCCCCATGTCCTCAGCATCTGTGTGTCACGTGCGAGTTCACTGTTCATGCTGCTCTGAGGGGCTGTCCTTCCTCTTTCTTCTTTCCTTTGGTTCAGAGCTACTCACGGGCCCAGAGAGAGAGTTAACTGAACGTCAAAATGAGAGGGTGTTTTGGGTAGTGTGGCCTGCAGACCTGCTAAAAACAGACGTCTTTCTATATTACGCCTCATATTTTATCAATATTTTATCGTTTCTTGATCTTTTTCTTTAATATTTTACCATTTTTTTCTTTTTCTGCGTCTGGCTAATTAATGATGAAATCTTAGTTATGGGAAGACTTGCTCACTTGGAGACGTTGGACTGTGTGGAGGTACTTACCCTCCTTCATCTAAACTCATCAGGGGTCTGTTCACCTGGAATATTGTGCGTGGTTACATGCTTGGCTGATGTTTAATAAATACCGAAATGGTGGTTCTCACAGCAGGACTAATTTCTTTCAGAATTTTAGAAATTAGAAAACCTTTTTCTTGAGGTTGTGAAGTCCTGAGAAGGGAACCCTTAAGTTACCCATCACATTTGCTGTAAAGCTTTCATTAATCTCCAAGTGGTTGTGGTTTTTATTTCTGATGCTTTTGGTTTTTGTTTTTAATTGTTATTAAATCTTAAATAGAAATATGAGCTTATAGATCAGTGACTTTACTGCTATTTGTCACTGCAATTTTTTGTTTCCTGTTTTTTCCTTCAGTGTTTACTTTGCGGATGGCACTAAGTTGCCCTTAGCATTTTCCAGTAAAACTTAACAAATGATGTTGGTTTTTATAGGAAATGGCCTTGTTTAAGGAAGTGAAGTCTCTCCAGCTTATCCCATCTTACCTGGTCCAGCCATTAAAAGCCAACTCCTCGGCTCACCTGGCCATGAGCCAGATGGCGCTGCTGGCCCGGCTGCTGCGGGACCTGGGCACGGAGGGCATGGGCTTCACCGTGGACAGCGTGATGCGGGTAAGCACCCCAAGGTGGCTGCCACAGCCCGGGCCCCGAGCTGGTGGCCGGAGCACGGCAAGCGTCTGGCCAGTGTTGGCTGCGTGCGGAGGTGGGGGGCAATTTCGGAACTTTGCCACGTCCTCTGACACGTGAGGGCGCTGGAGTCGCGCTGCCAGTTGCGTCGGGGCATGAGCCGTGCAGAGCCGTGTCCCCAGGGAAGCAAGCTCTGCAAACAGTGACGCCGCATCGTAACTGGTGGCAGGTCTGTGGAAGGAGGTGCATGTTTTATGCTTTGGACAATCCCATGAGCCTCAGAAGTGAACACTGATTGTGTCCGTTCACTTGTAGCCCCTGGACTGCCTCCTGAGTATGGGTCAGTGTCCCCTGTCCTGCCCTGCGTCACGTGGCCACTGTCTGTCCTGCTTCCACGTCAGTTTCCTTGTTCCCCAGCACAGACCATAAGCCGGCCCCACATGCTTACAGCCTTGTTAGGGCCACACCCACGTCAGGATCCCAGCGTAAGCTTTGGTCCAGTAAGCTGTGCCGCCATCACAGATGCGCACTCTTCAGGGCAGTGACACAGCAGAGGCTCGCTGCTGTCCCTTGTGGCCGGTGCCATCTGTGGGGACAGAGGCCACTCTGCTCTGTGGGCACTCGGGGGCTCCGTCTCCTCCCGGTGTGATGCCACGGCTTCACACATGACCTCCAAGGTCACTGAACGGAGGAGGGTGACTAGAGGTTGTGAGTGGAGGTGTCCACAGGCCGAACCACTCTCAGGTATGTCCATCCACTGAGGTGGCCCCATCCTCACTGCAGGGCCTGGGAGGCGTGTACAACTGTGCCCCAAGGAAGTGGGGAAACTGGGTTGGTGAGCACGTCACCCTGTGCTGGTCCGTCGACATGTGGTGGGCTTGATCGAGACAGAGAGTTTAAGAAGGAGGAGAAATGAGTGAAAGTTGGAGGTGGGGGTGAGCCTTTAATTGAAGGAACAAAGCCCCCAAGCAGCCGACGGAATGGGGCCGCAGTGCTCGCTCGGACGGCTCGGCTCAGAGCTGGGCAGCGGCCAGCCAGCCTCTCAACAGGAGGGCGTCGGCTCAAAGCCGAGAGTGGATGGGGAGGTTTGAGAGGCGAGCAGGAAGTATGAGATGCTGCCCTTGACCTCTGAGCAGGGAAACCAACCAGGAAACGTGACGGGTCAGGTTACTACGTGATGCCAAGGGCCCCAGGATCGCCATGGCCCAAAGTCCAGCATAAAACCAGCTGGCACAATTCCCGAGCCCGCAGCACCTTCTGCTTCACCTGGGAACACAGAGGAGGAGGGGCCCCAGATTTCAGGGCCTGCAGGGATGCCGGGGGTGACTTGGTGATGGACACGCAGGGCGGGAAAGACTCGCAGGAGGTGGCAGACGGGAGGGAGTGCAGACAGGTGAGCTGGAGAGGCAGGAGGTGATCATCCCGGGGGTGCCTCATGGTCAGAACTTCTCGAGCTGCTGCAGGGGTTGGGAAGCACAAGGTCTGGGGCAAAACCTGAGTGTGTGGCAGGCAGAGACAGAGGAAGTGAGGAAGCCCAGCCAGTGAGGGGCCGGCGCCCAAAGGACCAGGAGGGGACGTGGATTTACTATACGTGGGAACGTCGGGTATTGCGATGTGTTCGGATGACACTAAAGAGCTTAAAATGGATGGGGTGGGTCGTTTGCCTACTTCAGGGTCACGCACAGATCTTGAAAAAGGAACATTGAATAAGAAGAAATAAAGTGTCAGAATGATAAGCACAGTGAATCATTTATAATGTCAAACAAAAATCCTACGTGTACACACACACACGCACACGGCACGTACACTGCGCAGCAAATGAAGACGTCTGGGGGGCGCGTGCCCTCCAGCTTCAGGACACTGATGCCTCTGAGGGGGGAGGAGGGTGGGAGGGGACAGGGGGCCAGGGAGACTTCAAGGGGACTTGCACTGTAGTCCTAGGGTTCTGTCTCTTAGAAAGAGTTGAAGCAAACCTGGCAAAAATGATAAACATTGGTTAATCTAGATGGTGGATGCATGAAGTTTATTATATTTCCTCTTTATGATTGAAATATTTTCTAATACTTAATATGAAGTTTCTGGGGGGGTGTAACTTTAAAAATACTATTTAATACCTGAAGTAGGAAAAAGGAAAACACTAATAATTGTACATACAACATGGGTTCAGCTGCACATGTAAAGTAAAGGAAGTGAGGAAAACTCTGTATCTTAATAGCTGGAATTCTATGGGCATTGTCGTCTATGTTTTTCAAATGTCCACGATGTCCCTATGTTTCTTTTATGCCAGAAGAAATAAACGTGGCTATTTTGAGACCCAGTAACAAGAGCACGTCCCGACCCTATTCTTAGTTCGCAGTGCGGGCCCTGGAGCACAGGGAGCACAAGGTGCGGGATTCGGCAGTGGGCATGATCCTGGACCTGTACGTGCAGCACCGGGCTCTGGTCCTCGAGTGCCTCCCTCCCGAGGAGAGTGCCACCCGCAGGAGCGTCCTCTATAAGACACTTTTTGAGGGATTTGCTACGTTAGACGGCAGACCTACAGATGCTGAAATTAGGGTAAGTTAACTTTCCTGAAGTTATGACCTGGTCCCAGGTTTAAGAAGTGACTTGGTACGTGAGTAAACTGACACATCGTTCACAGGGCTATGGGGACAGGAAACACAGCACACGGAGGACACTGGTGCCTGAGCCCGCGTCCTGGCTCTTCCACCTTGTCTGTGTAGGGATGATGATGGCCGGGAGGACGCCTGCAGTGTTTATCAACAGGAAACATTTAACACAACACTGTTAATCAACTATACCCCAATATAAAATTTTTTTTTAATTTTTTAATTCGAAAAAAAAAAAAAAACAACCAGTAAACATTTATTAGATGAATCTGGTGGATTTTCTTTTAATTCTAGCTATAGTATTAGTCTTAGTGACGATTATAATACATAAGAAACATAATTTATATGCTATAACTTATCACTCAATTTCCAACGCTACCCTAAAAATCAGTTCTAATGGAAAATCATTTCATACCAGGCACAGAAAAGAGCAGCTACAGAAGAAGCAGAAAAACGCAAGAAAGAAGAAATTAAAGCTTTACAAGGGCAGTTGGCGACACTAAAGGAGGTGCAGGCTGAAGTCCAGGTTGGCAAGGTTCACTGTCTTTCACCGTCATGCTCTTGGTCAAAATCCTGTGACCGTTTATTTCCTTACGTAGACGCACAGCATGCTTGGTTTGCTTTTCGTGGGATTCTCCAAATGGGTATCTTTATTCTTTGTTGTTTTTTAAATTAGTTAAGGGGTAAATAAAAGGAATCCCCCACTGAATCATTTGCATGCTCTTTTTTTTTTAACATCTTTATTGGGGTATAATTGCTTTACAATGGTGTGTTAGTTTCTGCTTTATAACAAAGTGAATCAGTTATACATATACATATGTTCCCATATCTCTTCCCTCTTGCATCTCCCTCCCTCCCACCCTCCCTATCCCACCCCTCCAGGTGGTCACAAAGCACCGAGCTGATCTCCCTGTGCTATGCGGCTGCTTCCCACTAGCTATCTACCTTACGTTTGGTAGTGTATATATGTCCATGCCTCTCTCCCACTTTGTCACAGCTCACCCTTCCCCCTCCCCATATCCTCAAGTCCATTCTCTAGTAGGTCTGTGTCTTTATTCCTGTCTTACCCCTAGGTTCTTCATGACATTTTTTTTTCTTAAATTCCATATATATGTGTCAGCATACAGTATTTGTCTTTCTCTTTCTGACTTGCTTCACTCTGTATGACAGACCCTAGGTCCATCCACCTCACTACAACTAACTCAATTTCATTTCTTTTTAAGGCTGAGTAATATTCCATTGTATATATGTGCCACATCTTCTTTATCAGCTCATCCGATGATGGACACTTAGGTTGCTTCCATCTCCTGGCTATTGTAAATAGAGCTGCAATGAACATTTTGGTACATGACTCTTTTTGAATTATGGTTTTCTCAGGGTATATGCCCAGTAGTGGGATTGCTGGGTCATATGGTAGTTCTATTTGTAGTTTTTTAAGGAACCTCCATACTGTTCTCCATAGTGGCTGAACCAACTCACATTCCCACCAACAGTGCAAGAGTGTTCCCTTTTCTCTACACCCTCTCCAGCATTTATTGTTTCTAGATTTTTTGATGATGACCATTCAGACCGGTGTGAGATGATAGCCTCATTGTAGTTTTGATTTGCATTTCTCTAATGATTAATGATGTTGAACATTCTTTCACGTGTTTGTTGGCAATCTGTATATCTTCTTTGGAGAAATGTCTATTTAGGTCTTCTGCCCATTTTTGGATTGGGTTGTTTGTTTTTTTGGTATTGAGCTGCATGAGCTGCTTGTAAATTTTGGAGATTAATCCTTTGTCAGTTGCTTCATTTGCAAATATTTTCTCCCATTCTGAGGG